CCCTCCCGTGTCCTGTGGTCCCCTCTGGTGTCCTGCGCGGCCTCCACATCCCCTCGTTCACTCGGAACTTGGTGGGTGTTGGTTACCTCCAGGACAGGGGGATCACGGTTACCTTTGTGGGGGGTGGGAGGACTGCGGTCTGTACAGACGCTGCCACTGGTGCTGTTCTGGCCACGTTCACCAAGGAGCCCCGCTCCGGTCTCTACGTTCTCCACACCGAGCGCTCCCAGGTTGCGTCCTCCGCTCAGGTCGTTGCGTCCCCTCCAGTCAGGTGTCCAGTCCAGTTGCTGTGTCTAGCCAGGTGGTCATGTCTAGTCTAGTCGCGGTGTCCTGTCCGGTTGCTGCGTCTTGCTCCTGTCGCTCCCTCACCCACCGGACCGTCTTGTGGCACCACCGTCTTGGTCACCCGTCGATCCCCCACCTCCGCCGCATGACCAGCCAGGGGCTTGTCACATGTCTCCCACGCACCTTTCCGTCGCTCCCTACCTCACTTGCTCCCCCTTGCACTCCTTGCGTCGCTGGTCGCTTACGCGCCACTCCTCACTCCTCCTCCCTTCGCCCGGCCACTGCTCCCTTCGAGACCCTCCACTTGGACGTCAGGGGCCCTGCCCCAACGCAGGGATCTGGGAGAGAGCGTTACTTTCTGGTGGTCGTCGACGACTTCTCCAGGTACACCACAGTGTTTCCTCTCGCGAAGAAGTCCGAGGTGACTGCTACGCTGATCCGGTGGCTTCTGGCCACTGAGGGCACTCGTGGTCGTCGTGTCAGTTGTCTACACTCCGACCGCGGGGGCGAGTTTCGCTCCGGCGTTCTTGGCGGATTCTGCGGCAAACAGGGCATCGTACAGTCCTGGACGCTTCCGGAGTCCCCACAGCAGAATGGGGTTGCTGAGCGCCGCATTGGCTTGGTCATGGACATTGCTCGCACGTCCATGATCCATGCCCGTGCGCCCCATTTTCTGTGGCCCTACACGGTTCGCTACGCCGCACACCAGCTGAACCTCCAGCCGCGCGTCTCACGGCCCGAGGCTTCACCGACCAGTCTTTGGACCGGGTCCCCTGGTGTTGGGTCGGCCTTTCGTGTCTGGGGCTGCCTTGCGCTTGTTCGCGACACCTCCGCGGACAAGCTCTCAGCTCGCGCCGTCCCCTGTGTCTTCCTTGGTTTCCCGGTGGACTCTGCCGACTGGTCCTTTTACCACCCTCCCCTCCACCAGTTCCTAGACTCTCGTGACGTCCGGTTTGACGAGTCCGTGTCCTACTACACCCGGTACCCCTGTCGAGGTCTCCCGGTACCCCCTCCCCCCTTTTTCCTCGCCCCCTCTCCTCCTCCTGCTCCCGCTCCTCCGGTACCCCCGCCCCCCCCTGGTCCTGCCCCGTCTGGTGTTTCCTCTTCCCTCGGTCGCGCGTCAGGTAGCGTCTCCCTCCCCGCAGTCCTCCTCACAGTCTCCTCAGCAGCCTTCGGCACTTCCGCGACAGGTTACTGCAGACTCGGTTGGTGTTGGAGCTGGAGGTGCAGCCGCTGGCGGTGCTCGGTCTGGGGGTGCTCGTTTGAGGGGTGCTGGAGCTGGAGGTGCTGGCGCAGGTGGCGCTAGCTCTGGGGGTGCTGGAGCTGGAGGTGCTGGCACTGGAGGTGCTAGTTCTGGGGGTGCTGGAGCTGGAGGTGCTGGCACAGGAGGTGCTAGTTCTTAGGGTGCTGGAGCTGGAGGTGCTGGCACTGGAGGTGCTGGTTCTGGGGGTGCTGGTCCTGGAGGTGCTGGTTCTGGGGGTGCTGGTGCTTGAGGCGCTGGCACTGGAGGTGCTGGTTCTGAGGAGACTGGAGCTGGAGACACTGGTTCTGCGGAATCCACTCCGCCTCCCCACCGCCACGACACCCGTCTCCAGGCGGCCCGTCGGCGTGAGCGTGAGGAGCAGGTGCTGTTCGAGAGGGAGCGGCAGGAGTTGCGGCAGTTGGACCTGCTGGAGCAGCAGCGGCAGCAGCAGCAGCAGCCGCCGCCGCAGCAGCAGACACCGCCGCCGCAGCCGCGCCCACCGCAGCTCCCTCTGGAGCGGCAGTTGTTCCCACCCGTGAGTGGCCTTCGGGCCCTTGGTCTTCCCTCCTCTCCTCCTGTTCACACTCCGTCCCCTCCAGCGTTTGGTCCCACGTTTCCTCCTCCTGACGACAGTCCAGTGGTCTGGTCTTCTCCTCCACCGCAGTCTCCTCCACCTGGTGTCCCACACTCTCGTGTCCGTCCCTGTCCTCCGCGTGCTCGTCCCTCGTCTCCCGTTACCGACCTCCGCACTGCCCTCCTTTGTTCGTCTCTTCGTCGTCCTCCTCCTGAGTTCGTTCTCCCGTCTCCCCCTCCGTCCTCTCTCCCTTTTCCCCCCTACTCCTGTCACTGACTACTACCGCGCTGTTCGTCCTGTTGTCTCTCGTGTCCTCGCCACTCTTGTCACCGACTCTCGTTTCCCTCCGTCGTCTGTCTCGGCTCTCACTGCCGCTGTCGCTGAGTTTGCTGCCGCCAGTCGCCTTGACTACACCACCCGTGTGGTGCCAGCTCCTCCCTTCCGTCCTCTGTCCGTCGGGGGTGAGTTTGCCCTTGGCTGTGACATCCTAGAGGACAAAGAGTCTGAGCTGGAGTACTGGGCAGCTGCTTCTCCCTCTGTCTGTGCCATGCTGCTATCCCCTGAGGGAGACCCCGACGCCCTTGACATACCGACTCCTCGTACTTACCGCGAGGCAGTGTCAGGGGCGTGGGCCTCACAGTGGAAAGCGGCTATGGCCTCGGAGTTAGCGTCTTGGAGATCCACAGGCACCTACGTCGACGCAGTTCCCCCTCCCAGGGCGAACGTAGTCGATGGCATGTGGCTCTTCAAGGTGAAGCGGCCGCCTGGTTCACCACCTGTGTTCAAGGCGCGCTACGTGGCTAGGGGTTTCAGTCAGCGGGAGGGAGTTTACTTCTTCCAAACCTTCGCCCCGACCCCGAAGATGACTACTTTTCGGGTGTTACTGCACGTAGCAGCACAGCGAGACTACGGGCTGCACTCCCTTGACTTCTCTACTGCGTTTCTCCAGGGCCGGCTACACGGGGAGATCTGGCTGCGCCGCCCTCCTGGCTTCACTGACACCTTCCCACCTGGGACCCAGTGGAGCCTGAGACGGCCAGTCTACGGTCTCCGCCAGTCGCCCCGTGAGTGGCACGACACTCTTCGCTCCACGCTTCGTCACCTTGGGTTTTGTCCTTCCTCTGCCGACCCGCCGCTGTTTGTTCGCACTGGTTCCACTCCTTTCTTTATACTAGTGTACGTCGACGACTTGGTCTTTGCCACAGCAGACAGGGCAGCTCTGGCTCAGGTGAAGTCCGAACTGCAGAAGAGACACAAGTGCACTGACCTAGGTGAACTGCAGCGCTACCTTGGCCTGCAGATCATCAGGGACAGAGCCGCTCGCACCATCACACTGACTCAGTCACACATGGTGGAGCAGGTCCTTCGGCGGTTCGACTTCCAATTCTCCACCACACAGCCCACACCTCTTGCTGTTGACCACAGACTCACTGGCCCCTTTCCCGACGAGCCCTTTGAGTCCAGTGGTCCCTACGCAGAGCTGGTGGGCTGCCTCATGTACCTGATGACTTGTACTCGGCCGGACCTCGCCTTTCCCCTCAGCATACTTTCTCGCTTTGTTGCGACTGGGAGACACCGTCCTATCCACTGGACAGCTGCTGTGAGGGTGGCGAAGTACCTGGCGACTACATCATGCATGGGGCTTGTGCTTGGAGGGACTCAGCCAGTGGCGTTGACTGGTCACTACGACTCTTCCTACGCTGACGACGTGGAGACTCAGCGCTCGACTCAGGGTTACTGCTTCAGTCTGGGAGCTGGTGCTGTGTCGTGGAGGTCTACACGGTCGTCGTCTGTGGCTACTTCCAGTGCAGAGGCAGAGATCTACGCTGGTGCCGGCGGCACAGGAGCTTCGCTGGTTGACCTTCTTGCTCGCCGACCTTGGTGAGCGGCCTCGCTCTGCACCGACCTTGTACGCTGACAACAAGGCCATGATCCTCCTCTGTCGAGAGCCTCGACTGGAGAGCAGAGTGAAGCATATTGACGTGAGGTACTTCTTCCTGCGAGAGCTGCAGCGACGCGGCCAGGCACGCCTGGACTTTGTGGCCTCAGAGGCCAACACTGCAGACGTCTTCACCAAGGCCCTGGCGCTTGGTGACCACCACAGGTTCTGTGTGCAGTTGGGGCTTGTTGAGGTAGGCCCTCGGTTGCTGTAGACTTGTTACTTGCTCTGCTTGTTGTTTTTTCTTATATATATCATAGTGAACTCTTGAACTGGCCTTGTGGCCGCTTGCTTGTGCTCGGAATTTGTGTGGTGTCCTTGAGATCCACCCTGAGCTTGCCTTGCTTCTTGTCTTGACTGGTCTTGTGACCGTTTGTCTGCCTTGCTTGTTTTGATGCCCCTCACTTAGCCTATGGGGGTGTGTCAAATAAAATAATTATAGGCTGTAGTGAGTTGCATTCTAGAGGGTACATATGCTAGGGTTTCCTATTTGTATCCGACACTTTGCTAGTTCATCCATTCCGTTGTTCGCTAACTTTGAGAGGAAATACCGATCTGTTTGTCTTCAAGTGTATGGTTCATCCGTTCAAACTGGCCATCCTTAGGAAACTTGAGGCGGTACCATGAAGGTTGAAAAGGCTTTGCCAAAAGTTTCTCAAGAATTCACGAGCCAGAACCTCGCTGCCAACATTGCATAGCCTTATCTCGCATTCGCGTGTTACCGTTTGTACCATACTGTTCGCTCATGCCTTTGCTCACACATTACTTTTCCTTTGAACTGTTAGTGAAATACATGTTTGCCCATTCCATTGCACATGTCAAACAACCAGGGTAATATAAAACAAGATACAGCCGTTTTGTTTGTTTGTTTTTTAAGAGATTATCATTCGATCCAGGGGTCTTCCATCCGGGAGATTACGGTATGGTATGTCACCTTCCCAGCACCACAACAACGCTCTTCAAGGCGTGCACTCGCTGAGCAGAAACTCCCTGTACAGGCATTCTCCGTGCACAGATGTCCCTTTGCCATTCATTCCACCCACGCCACCACCGCCCTGCACTCCCCCTTTCACCGGGCCCCAGAACCCCCCCTTCCCCCTCCCCCTCCCCCACCCTCTGGTACCGGCCTTGCCTGCAGCAGGACTGGACTCATCTCCACCCATGGCGGCCAGGTCCACACACGACTGCACTCGCTGGCAGCTCATCATGCCCACTCCACCCGGTAACCCACCGTGATCCGCATGACCAACGCCACCAGCAGCAGCAGCACCACTGCCTGCTCCATCTCCCACCACCCCTCGCCCCTGCTGCCGCTCACCCGACTGGGGCGAGACACCCAGGGCCAGGGGGCTCTTCCCCGGGCCAACGGGAGACTGCCACGTCATCCCGGCACCACCCGCACTGGCACGGGCGTTGAGTCGTCGCGCCCACCCACCAGCGTTGTCGCTGTGAGCGGTGGCGGATGGCGAGCGCGGAGACAGCGGCCCTCTCAGGGCCAGCGGGGCTGCACTGCGGGCACCCATTGCGCCCACCACATCGCCATCGGCACCAGGACTTGCTATGTCCTCCTCCTCGCCCTCGCCCTCCTCCCCACCTGCCCTCAGCAGCCCCAGGCGCCTGGCCATGCGGAAGCTTCCTCGCAGGCTGCCTCCGGGGCTGGGCAAGCCTGCTGCTGCAGGGCTGGGCGCCCCGCTGCCATGCATCATGCTGAAGAACCGCCGTGACCCGTGCTGGCTGCCCCCCGCCCCGCCCTCCTTCCCCGCCCCGCTACTCGCCTTGTGCTGCTCCCTGCCCCCCAAGAGGCCAAAGAAGCGCCGGGAGCCGTGCTGGCTGCTGCCGCCCTCGTGCTGATCGCCCTCCCTCGCTCTCATCACACTCAAGAACCGCCGTGACCCGTGAAGGCTGCCGCCATGCACACTGCCGCCGTGCACACTGCCGCCGTGCACACTGCCGCCGTGCACACTGCCGCCGTGCACACTGCCGCCGTGCACACTGCCGTCACCCTCTCCTTCCTTCTCGCCCTCGCCTTCCCTCATAAGCCCTAAGAACCGCCGCGACCCACGATGGCTGCTCCCACCCTCCACACTCTTGCCCCCGCCCTCCGGACTGACCGCCTTCCCCTTCCCCTTCCCCTCCCTCCTCCCTCCTCCACCTGCAGCACCCCGCACAGCAGCAGCAGCATGGGCGACGGATTGGTGGTGGGGGGGGTGGTCAGGGTGGGGGTGGTGGTGCAGGCGGTGCACGTCGTGGTGGCGTGTCACGAGGGCAGAGAAGTCGAGCAGGTCAAACAGAGGCACGGGAGGGATGGCCAGGGAGGAGGACGAGGGAGGCAGGACCGAGGGTTGATGGGTGAGAGAGGTGGTCGCTGCTCCCTGCTGCTGCTGCTGCTGCTGCTCCTGACGCTGCTTCCCCAGCGTAGCAGCGATACCAGAACCACCTCGCACACACCCCTCCCTCTCCCTTTCCCCGCCCGCTGCACTGCTACCAGCAGCGCCAGAACCGCTCTGCACCGCTCCTGCTTGCAGCGTCACAGTGGGAGGCACGTGAGCCAGCATGCTGTGAGGCATGACGCTGCTGTGCAGGCCCATGAGCTGATGTGACAACCGCTGGTGCCCCAGGGCGTCTAGACTCGCCAGCAGCGCCGGTAGAGACAGCATGGCCGAAGGGGGGCACTGCTGCTGCTGCTGCTGCTGCTCACCCCTGTCGTCGCTCTGCCCATCCACAGTCCCACCTGCTTCGCTCACTGCCTCCAGTGACGTGCCCGGTGCTGACGTGGCACTCGCCAGCTGGCGCACAAGCTGGCGGAACTCCGACTCGCTGAGCTCCAGAGACAGCAGGGCAACGCACGCGCGCTGCAGCTTCCTGGTAGCTGCGTACATGCGGAAGCCTCGCAGCGACCCCTCCAGCTGCACGCCCCCCCGCACACGCCCCTCTGCTGCCGCCCCTCCCTGTGCTGGCCCCTTCCCTACCACCCCCTCTTCCTCTTGCCCCGTCCGTCTGGCCGCCACCTCCCCTTCCCTCTCCCCGCTCTCCTCGTTCTTAATGCTCCTCTCCCCGTCCTCCTCTCCCCCTTTCCCCATCCCCTCCTCCGGCATCTCTGCCGCAGCCCCCCTCGCCCTCGCCTCCGTGTGCTCCTCCCCTGCGCTCGCCCCAGGCGCCACCACAGCGGGCGGGCCCCACTTGCCAGCACCATCCCCTGTCACGACAACGGCCCCTGCAATGGCCCCTGAAGCGACCTCTGCGCCACTGCCTGCAGCGCCCGCCGCAGCGCCAGCCAGCCACGGGTGGAGCAGCGCGTGGGCTGCTGAGGGGCGCTGGCAGGGGTCGGGCTCCAACACGACACGCAGGAACGAGCGCGCTGCTGGTGAGGTTTCCGAGGGTAAAGTTGGAACTATCCCTTTCTGATGAGGGGTGGATTGGGGTAAGAGAAGGGTCGAGTGGGGATAAGCTGGGAGGTGGTGGACATGCTGGTGAAGGTTGAAGGTGCGGTGAAACAACATGGCCAATGAGACGGAGTCAAGCCGCAAGCGAGGTCTCTGACAAGTGTTGGCATCCAACACACATGCACATGCACATGCACATACACATGCACATGCCCATGCACATGCCCATGCACATGCACATGCACATGCACATGCGCATGCGCATGCCCATGCCCATGCCCATGCACATGCACATGCACATGCCCATGCCCATGCACATGCACATGCACATGCCCATGCACATGCCCATGCACATGCAAACGCACATGCACAAGCACATGCACATGCACGCGCACATGCACAAGCACATGGACACGCACAGGCACATGCACACGCACATGCCCATGCACATGCACATGCACATGCCCATGCACATGCCCATGCCCATGCACATGCACATGCACATGCCCATGCACATGCACATGCACATGCCCATGCACATGCCCATGCACATGCAAACGCACATGCACAAGCACATGCACATGCACGCGCACATGCACAAGCACATGGACACGCACAGGCACATGCACACGCACATGCCCATGCACATGCACATGCACATGCCCATGCCCATGCACATTCACATGCACATGCCCATGCACATGCCCATGCACATGCACACGCACATGCACAAGCAGAAACATGGTACGCCTCTCCCCTGCACGCCCCTCACCTGCATGGCCTGCCACGTGGCATTTGAGTGCACCGTGGCGCAGGTGAGTCCACTGGGAGGCGGCCCCGTGAGCAGAACGGCCACCACGGCCCCTGCACTCCACACGTCCGCCTGGGGGCCGTACGCGTGCCGCCACACCTCAGGCGCGGCGTAGAACGCCGTGCCCATGAAGTCCCTCAGCACCTCCCCGCCCTCCCGTGCCCTCCCCCGTGCTGGCACTGTGGCTGCTGCTGGTGGCCCCGGTGGTGGGGGCGGGCGCGGGGAGGAAGAGAGCAGCGCTGCAGAAGTCAACGAGCTTGATGGGGAGCGAGTGCGCGTGCGACAGCAGTATGTTCTCCGGCTTCTGACCAGGGGAAGAAGAAGGAGGGGAGGGTAGGGGAGGGAACGGGAGGGGAGGGGAGTGCAGCGAGGACCGGTGGCGTGAGCAGGAGGGGAGAGGAGCAGGAGCATGGGGCTCACTCACACGCTACTGCCATCACATGACTGCACCGTGCCACCCCTTCCACCCCGCCATGTGCACGTGGCTCGCCGCCCCTTCCCACTCTCTCTTCCCCATTCGTCCCACCTTCTCAACATGTCAGCCACTCAATCCGTCACCGCACCATCCCGTGCATCATCACCACCACAGAAGCCCAACAGCCTGTCAGATGTCCAGCCGTGTGGCAGCGCCCACTGGCCGTCAACACCATGCATGCATGGCAGTGTTGAACATACGCACCCCAGCACGCCCCTCTGCACGGCAGGCGCTCACCAGGTCGCGGTGGGTGACGCCCCTCGCATGGCACAGCGCCACCGCCTGCAGCAGCTGCCGCGTTGATGGAGGGAGGAGGGCGAGGGGATGATGGGGGGGGGGGGGGACATGTGGAAGGGGATGGATGAAGGGCGGGCACACAGCACACAGCACACAGCAACGGCTCCCATGACTCGCCCCTCGCATGGGAACAGCGCCAATGCCTGCAGCAGCTGCCGGGTTGATGGGGGGCGGGAGGAGTGGGGACGATGGGGACAGGGGAGCACGAAGCAGAGAGGTTGAAGGGGCAGGGGGGTTATCGGGAGCAGGGGGGACGGGGGGGGTGAGGAAGTATGGGAGGCGAAAGTGGATGGGGGAGGGGAAGGGGTTGATGGATGAAGAACCAACACATTGATTCTAATTAAAAAAAAACTGACTGTTTGTGTGGCCCCCACGCACCATTGTGCGCGGCATCACAGCAATGTGCTCCCATGACGCACCAATGTGTGCAGCATCAGCCTCAGTGAAGGAGGAGCGTGCAGCGAGCGCCATGAAAAGGTCGCCCCCCTGCGCCTTGTCCGTGACAATGTGCAGGTGCCGGCTGTCCTCGTGCGTGGCTAGCAGCCGGATGATGGGCGGTGTGACCGGTGCTGGTGCTGCCCACAGCTGCATGAAATGGGTGAGGGAGGGAAGGGGCGAATGCTTGGGCCTTGTCCGTGACAATGCGCAGGTGGCGGCTGTCCTCGTGTGTGGCTAGCAGCCGGATGATGGGCGGTGATGCTGGTGCTGGTGCTGCCCACAGCTGCCAGGGGGGGAAGTGGTGGGGAGAGATGAGGTGTGAAAGGGAAGCACGAGGGCGGAGATGTGAGGCACGTGAGGGGGCGTGAAAGTGCAATGGGGGAAAGGAGCTTGTAGATTGGGAGTGAGCAGCATTTGGGGAAGGCGCACTTGGGGAGGGGGCACTTGGAGAGAGGGCACTTGGGGAGAGGGCAGTGAGCGTGGCAGCAGGGCAGCAACGGAAGGAGGTGGAAAAAGGGGCATGAATGATGGAAGCAGCAGCAGGTGGGTCAAAATCTTAAAGACGGTGTGAAAGGAGTGAGTGCAGGCAGCGCGGAGGCTTACCCGCTGCAGGGCCTCGATCTCGATGGTCTGATGCCGGGTCGCCATGGCAGCACAGGTGCGGCGCAGGTGCGGCGCAGGTACGAGGGGAGGAGGGGCGCAGGGGAACGGAAGAAGCGCGGGGGGAGAGAAGGATGCAGTGAGTTGTGAGGGGAGGTGGGAGACGTTAGGAGTTAGATGGAGCAGCAAGGGTCAGCAATGAAAGAGTGGTTTGCACAAAGCAGAGACAGGCAGTTGCGGGTGCAGTGGGTGTGGTGGGTGTGGTGGGAGGGAGGGAGCAGCACTGACGCGGCTGATGTAGGCGGGGCGAGCCGAGAGCACCTTCTTGGAGCCTTCACCGCCACCACCGCCCCCGTTGCCCGCTCCACCGCCTCCCTGCTCCCCCGCATGCATGCACACACACACGGGCGACGGGCGAGCGGTGGTGGTGGTGTTGAGCGAGGGGCGAGGGGCGAAAGGAGGGGCGAAGGGAGGGAAGGGAGGGGGAGGACGGGAGAAGGGGGAAGAGAGCAAAGAGTTTATTTTTTTACGCAGAGGAAGCAGCGAAGGGCACAGGACCGGTGGGGAGTTGCAGCAGCGTGGGAAGCGAGGGGGAAGGGGGAGAGCAGGCGGGAGTGAGTTGGCATGCAGGTGGTGGTGGGGGGAACGATGGGGGCGAGCAGCGGAGCAAGCGGGGCGCACCTGACGGAGGCCACACGGCCGCACCCCAGAGTGTTGCCCACCAGCTTGTAGTGAGCTTCCAGGGAACCTTCCGGGCCCACCTTGGTCGCTGACGTCAGCATGGGGTCCTTGACGTGCTTGTGAGGGGGAAGTGATGATGACGTGGCGGCACGGAGTGATGACGAGGACGGCTCCACTGCCGTGCTGGACAGGCAGCAACCCATGGCGACGGCGACTGGCGATGCTGACGACAGCTGTGACAATAGCGAGGGGCCGAGTGCCGCGGGTGGAGCGTCGCGGCGATCACCAAGAGTCAACGGAGTCGCTGCTTGGCGCTAGCGCGCTTCGCTGAGCGCTGCTGTGCGCAGACGCGGGCGGAGGTGGCCACCTGGCCTACGACCCGCGCCGCTCGCATTCACGCCGCACTGCTGCCCTCACAGCACGTGTCGCGCGACGCGCGGGAGTGCGCATCGGCGCTCGTAACGACCGGCGCGCTTGGGTCCGGATGGCGAGCGGCGAGACCCGCTGCGGGTGTGTGCTAGCGGCGAGCTGTCGCGTTTCGAGTTGACTCAACACTCTTGTGCGCGGAACGCGGCGAGCTGTCGCCACACGAGCGCGTCTTCACGCGCCGAGCGCGCCGCTGGAAGGACACGGCGCTCTGCCGGTGGGGCTCTTCGTTGTCCGCATTCCCCGCTGCTCCAGTGTGAGCCAACTGGGCGTCGTTCGCTTGGTGCCGGCAGGAGTGGCGAGGCCAGGTGGCGACTACTGCATTGCGCTGCTGCACGCACTGCGTGGCACGCGACGCCTGCTGCTGAGAGCACTGCTCCGCAAAAAGCGGGAAGCGATATGAGCGCGAGAGTGAGTGAGTGGACGGGCATCAGCACTGCAGTGAGCCGTTGCACAACAATAAACTATCAACTCGTGGATATGTGATGGCGCGTTTCAGAAACAGTGGTGGTGTGGTCGGGGAATCGTGAATCGTTATTCGTGACGTGTGGGAGTCGACGTGGCACGATTCTGAGTCGGAACCACTTGCGGCTGACTCGAAAATTCTGCGCGAATCGGAGCCCAGCCATATGATCGACCGTCCACGAGGTGCCGTCCGATATTTTAGTTACACAACGACGATTTAATAACTGTAGCTAATAAGTGGGGAGGTGTAGTGACGGCGATTTACTTCTGTAACGAGCCTTGCGAAAGTACGACGACACGCGCTCGACGAAACGTGTTCACCCTTACCAGTAGCACCGGTTACGTCTCGTGAATGCGCATGAGCGAGCACCTATCTCAGCCGTCACAAAAAAAAAAAACCCTATTTTTCCAGCGCTTGTAGTGCCCCGACGACGTGCAAAAGAAGCCACGTTTGAAAGGGTGCAGGTTCGCATAGAGGACGGCGCCTCGCTACTGCGTTGCTCTGAGCCATCGCTGATTTATCGTTCACCTTGAGACGCCGTTCTCCATCCGATTCCAATCCTCGTTTCTGCCTCGCCCGTCACGGTGTTGTTATGCTTGTTATGAAACACTGAGAGTGCCACTATAGCGATCACTCTCCCCCATCGCTATCGCCCTTCAGCGGTCGCCGCCATGCTCAAGGACAAGCGCGCCGCCTTCCTGCGGCTGCAGGAGCGCGTGCAGGCGCGCACCGTCGCCGACCATGCCGCCGCCACAGCCGCCAGGCGCCAAGCCGCCCCTTCCCCCGCTGCCGTTGCGCCGGCGAGCACCGCTGTCGCGGGGGAAGTTGCGGGGAGCGGAAAGGGCATCGCGGTGGGGTTTCAGGGGCTGCAGGCGGAGAACTGGCTGGCGGACGCGGGGAAGTACGAGGCGGTGCTGCGCGTGCGACAGCTGCCGCTGGGGCAGAAGATCAAGAAGGTCATCGACCTGCTCTTCCGGGTAAGCGCGCCGCCCCTGCTGCCGCTGCCGCCGCCGCTACCCATGCTGGTGCTGGGGTCTGCGGGGGCTGCGAATTGCGTGAAGGCGCTACCCCATCAGTGCGCCGGGACCATGCGCGCAGTTGTACTGCCTCCATGCGCACAGCGAGCGGTGGGCAGGCCCAGCATGGTGGAACCAGCGCCCCTGCCCTTTCTGCTCGCGGATAATCCCCTCGCCTCCCCGCCCTCCCTTCGCCTCCCCTTCCCGCCCTCTCCGCCTCTCTCCCTTTCCTCCTTCCCCACCCTCCACACCCTCCCCTCCCCACCCTCCCCGTGCTCACCTCTTCCTGCAAGGAACAGTACAATACCTTCTGAAGCGCTACAGACTCGCTGCATGCATCCACCTCCCCCGTGCCCTGCCCTCCCCTTCCCGCTTCTCCCCCTCCCCATTGTGCGCGTGCACAGGAGCGGCAGGGGCTGACGGCGGAGCAGGTGGAGGCGGTGACGATGGTGGACGTCACCTCGAGCCGCGAGCTGCAGGCCAGCCTGCGCGCCAACCCCAAGGTCGCCGTGCACGGCAACACCTACATCTACAAGGTGCGCCCCCCCTGCTGGGCCCACGCCCTCTGCTGCCATGCCTGTGCAGCCTGTCGCCTTCCTTTGCTGTGTTGCGGCGCCCTGCTGTTTCCTCCATTCCACCCCCACTGTGCCCATCCGACCTTCCACCCACTCCCTCCATGCTTCCCCCATCCCACCCTCCCCGCCTCTCCCTCGCCCTCTTTCCCCCCCCCCTCCCCTCATGGCAACGCATACACCACCAGGCGAAGCACGAGTTGGCGGGGAGGGACGACCTGCTGAGGCTGATCCGCGAGCACAAGGACGGCATCCCCATGGGCGACGTGCGCGACTCGTACAGCGGCGTGGCGCACCACGTGCAGGAGCTGCGGGCGTTGGGGCAGGCGTGGGTGCTGTTCAATGCGGACAGCGGGGACGAGGTGCTGTTCCCCAACGACCCGCGCATCGCCATCCACGTGGACCCCGACATCCGCGCTCTCTTCCGCCGCATCGACCTGCCCCGGGACCTCACCGACCTCGAGAAGGAGCTGCAGCGCTGCGGCCACACCCCCGCCATGCCCGCCGTGCGCCGCCTGCAGGCCCTCGAAGGCGCCATGACCGCCCAGGTGAGGGGAGGAGAGAGAGAGGGCGGAAGGGGGAAGGTGGGGGGTTGGGGGGTGGGTGGTGTGGATGTGCAGGCATGAGGCAGCAGCATGCCGTGCCTGCTGTGCCTGCAGGCCCTGCAAAGGGGCTGGTCGTGATGGTGAGGGGCGAGGTGGTTGAGGTGATGGGAGGAGGGAGCAGGGAAGTAGGGGGAATGCGGCATGGGAGATCTGCTGTGTAGAGTGCTGACTGAAGGTAGTGCTGGTGTATGGGGGTTGCATGCGGTGACTGTGCAAGTGAGAAGCCTCCTCCATATCACTGCCCTTGTTTCCACCCCTCTAGACACAGAAGCCCAAGGCGAAGAGGAAGCGGGAGTCGAAGCGCACCAAGTACACCAACAACCATCTGCCAGAGCTCTTCGCCAACACACCCATGTGATCGACCTTGCTCTCGCCTGCTCACTTCGTTTGAATTCCGTTGGCCTCTCCTCTTCCTATTGAAGCTTAACCTAGCAGCCTAATGGCTTCAGGGTGGGCCATGGTGCAGGCAATAGTTATGGCACCAAGTGGCATGCCTAATCCGAGTGTTCCTCCCTTGTACATATCTCAGGGAACTGTTTTCTATTATATTCATTTTTGTACGAGTAGTTGAGGTTCTTTGAGCATTGTGGTACCATACCATGACTAGAAGTTTCCGATTTGTCAACTCCTTGTTAGCTAACGCACACAAAATCTTCCAGAATCAGTCAAGCGTAACATGACAGTGCTCGCCCGTTACCCTACCACTTTCGCGACTTGAATCTCACTGACACACCAGCCGCCTCGCCTTCGAGTGCTTTCCTGACAGGCGGGAACGATCTGCCACATGGCAGCATGCGTCGCACAGGTTTTCGCGGGCTAAGTTGGTGGTGGTATGCCACGCCCTTGGTGCTCTCAGCCGTCCATGCCCGTGCCCGATTTCAGGGTTCCATGTGCCATGTCCCACCCATTTCCCCCCAAAGCCCCATCCATGTGTGCTTCACCTTCAAATCTGCAAGTCCACAACAACCTTCGTCTGCTCCTCACCTCAGTCCTGTTTCCCAAGAGATTGTTTCCGTGTTGTGTGCCATCGCGAATCCGTCAGTCACACATATCCCAGACACACCTTTAGGGCGTTGTGACCAGGAATCTAGATCTCGAAGTGCATAGCTCGGAAAATGGTGAGCTACGTTAACTTCGCGTTTCGCCGCAGTAGGCGTTTATGAGCATCTCTGCAGAATCTTAAAGTGCTGTCGTGTCCCGCCTTCTCGGTATTATGCAGGCTCTCCCTGGTCAGACCACACCTGAAGGTTGCCCCAGCTTCAAGCTGATTCTTGTTGGTGATGGCGGTACAGGTGCGCATCTCTCTTTGCACAGTTCGGTTATGCGACCCTTAGGCAGGAGCGTTAAATCGTTTTCTTTTCTTTTTTGTTTCAGGAAAGACGACCTTTGTGAAGCGTCACTTAACGGGTGAATTTGAGAAGCGCTATGAACGTAAGTTAAAGGTTGTGATGGATTCAGCTTTAGCTTTACTGTTCTGATCTCGTATCAGCGTTAACAGTCGCTTCGTTGCTCATGCCGCAGCAACTATCGGTGTGGAAGTCCACCCCCTTGATTTCTACACCAACTGCGGTCGGATTCGCTTCTACTGCTGGGACACAGCAGGTCAAGAAAAATTCGGCGGACTTCGCGACGGTTACTAGTAAGCTCCTTCACGATTCTCAACACCTGTCTCCCTAGTTTTCTACCAGCCCATAGCGTAGTGTCAAACGAGCTTCAAGAAACGGGTCCGTTATGACATAAAAGGCACATTTCGTTTTTCGTAGCTGTGGAGCAGATCAGTGCGACTGACAAGAGGGAGAGTTTATCATTGGGAGCGTCGTCAAGCTTTAGATGGCTAGTAGTGCGGGGAGTGCGAAGGATCGGCCGATCAGGGTAGCAGCATCATAGTACCGATCTAGCGACTGTGTTGTCGTAGCCTCATTGTCCTCCCGTCTTTCCGACCGTTCTCAACCAACTGACGACCTCAAATTGACCCGTTTATATTCTCCTTCGCATTTCAGTATCCACGGGCAATGTGCGATCATCATGTTCGATGTGACATCGCGGCTGACATACAAGAACGTCCCTACATGGCACAGAGATCTGTGCAGGTAAGCTTGAAGCTTGTAGGTTGCATTCCGAACGAAAAGTTGAGGCCTCGTTGCTTATTCGTTTTTTTCTTTTCCTCTTTCCCAGGGTGTGCGAAAACATCCCCATCGTCCTCTGTGGAAACAAGGTTGATGTTAAGAACCGTCAGGTGAAGGCCAAGCAGGTCACCTTCCATCGCAAGAAGAATCTTCAGTACTACGAGATTTCTGCCAAGAGCAACTACAACTTTGAGAAGCCCTACCTGTATCTTGCCAGGAAGCTTGCTGGGTAAGTACATCTCCATATTTCTTCGAGGCTGTATTTCCTCTGTAGACACTTGTGGAGTCGCCAACCTCACTTTGTGACGCTGTTACTACTTCCAGGGATGCCAACCTTCACTTTGTGGAGTCGCCTGCTCTTGCACCACCTGAGGTCGCCATTGACCTTGAACAGCAGGCCAAGTAAGTAGAGTTACGATGTCAATTAGTAGGGGCATCAATTGTGAGTCGGTAATTCATTCCTTGTGTTCCTTGTGCAGGTACGAGCAAGAGCTTGCTGCTGCTGCTGCTCAGCCCCTTCCAGATGAGGATGATGACTTGGAGTAAACGGGTCGTAATCCACAAACACAGTCGATTAGCTGCAATCATACAAATCTTTGTGTATGTTTGCATTGATTTAGGCAATTCATACCAGCTGCCTGTAGCTTATCCCGTATTTGTAGTGTCACCAATATTTCATAGGCTAGTTACCAGATCATTTGAGATGTGTTCTACCGTAAAGCCCATTTGGTCATTCGTTAGAAGCAACGTTCACGCCCATTTTCAGAAATCGGTGTATCCGGTAACTAAATGGTTTTCATTAGACAGCTCATCGATGTGTTGCAAATGAACAAAACAACTGTTGGCAGAAGATTTAGTCAAAACACTGTCTAGCTGCATATATCTTACCACGGCACACACACACACACACTCAGCACAAAATTCGGTAAGAAAGCACCGAAGTCATTCTTCAGACGGCAAGATTGCGGACCCGTTGCCTTAGCTCCTCAAGCTGCTGAGTGGATGTCTGCAGCTGCGATTGCAGAGCATCCACGCGCTCCAGCTCATCATCCACAGCGCGGCGGTACAGTGCCAGCTCAGCGCGGATGCGAGTCTCCAGGTCGGCCAGGCGGCTTTGCAGCTCGCCCGCCAGCCCCTCCTCCAGGCGCTTGATGAGCCCCGCTGCACGCTGCCGTATCTTACCCTTCACCTTCTCCCGCCGCTGTGGGAAGGTGAGCACGTTCATGGAGCTGCATACACAGCAGTCCAGGCGGGGTGGGGGGAGGATGGGCTCATTGAGAATGGAGTGCTGTCCAGGGCTCAGGTTTGGTTTTTACCTACTCACGATTAGCAGTGTAGACATTTTCAAAACCCTTCTGAGCGGTGTGTATTTTTTGGTAACACTGATGGATCAGTGTAACTTTAAGTTTTGAAAACTTTACCCAGAGGCATCAGTGTAGGTATATTTTTTACCCTGATTGTACTGTAGGTGCTAGCAGCAACCAAGCTGGAGGCCCAAATTGCGCAAGATGGGCACTGGTGGGTGGGGGTTGTTGTGAAAGTCGAACGCAGTGGCTTGTCTGGTTTCACTGAGTCAGCAGGCTTCCCGGGGGGAACATGTGTTTGGGGACCTCGATCGAGTGGAGTCGAGGGAATTGAAGTCCTGCAGTGAGTGCAGCTTCGACCAATCAGGTTGCAGTTTTTGCTTCGTGTAGGTTGCAAGCAGACACGGAGTGACGCGGTGTCGGTCGTCAGTACTCACGTGCTGCCGTCGTAGTGCATCATTACGAAATTAGGTGTACCGTTATGAAATTTCGGAGAACCATCTCGATAGGTAGAGTTTCCGAAGGGGGGGGGGGGGGGGGGAGGAAGGGGGGGGGGGGTGGGGGGGGGTGGTTCCCTGTACGCTCTTCAGGGTAATCTTCGCTAAGGAAAATGTTACCCCAGAGCATCAGTGTGGCCTAAATCATAACACTGACATATCAGTGTAACACTAATCCCCCAAAAAATTACCCCAGCCCATCAGTGTAGACTGAAAATTTCACCCTTCTCATCAGTGGAGAAGGGTAAATTACACTGCAAACCTGAGCCCTGGTGCTGTCTCAAAGTTAGAATGCAATGGAATGCTTGACTAGAAAGGAGTTGGGGTACAAATAGGAAACTCTAACATGTTTGTACTCACTAAGGAGCACCTCACTACAGCCTATCACAAATATCAACATTTGACACACCCCCATAGGCTAAGTGAGGGGCATCAAAACAAGCAAGGCAGACAAACGGTCACAAGACCAGTCAAGACAAGAAGCAAAGCAAGCTCAGGGTGGATCTCAAGGACACCACACAAATTCCGAGCACAAGCAAGCGGCCACAAGGCCAGTTCAAGAGGTCACTAGGATATATATAGGAAAACACAACAAGCAGAGCAAGCAACAAGTCTACAGCAACCGAGGGCCTACCTCAACAAGCCCCAACTGCACACAGAACCTGTGGTGGTCACCAAGCGCCAGGGCCTTGGTGAAGACGTCTGCAGTGTTGGCCTCTGAGGCCACAAAGTCCAAGCGTGCCTGGCCGCGTCGCTGCAGCTCTCGCAGGAGGAAGTACCTCACGTCAATATGCTTCACTCTGCTCTCCAGTCGAGGCTCTCGACAGAGGAGGATCATGGCCTTGTTGTCAGCGTACAAGGTCGGTGCAGAGCGAGGCCGCTCACCAAGGTCGGCGAGCAAGAAGGTCAACCAGCGAAGCTCCTGTGCCGCCATGGCACCAGCGTAGTGTCAGAATGTGATGTTTGTCTAGCCTGCAGTGGGGTACTCTATAGCGAGTACAACCCAATTAGGGTTTCCTATATGTATCTCAACTGCTGCTAGTGAAAACCCTCCTTTTCTTGTTTCTGATTCTTGCCTAGACTTTCGTCATGCTATCAGAGCAGGTCGACCCTCCCGGGTCGATCCTGTGGATGGGCCCACCGTTAGCTTCCGCTGCTGTCATGCCTATCGCGCGCCTCGGGCGCGCTTCGTTTTCTGCCTGCCGCGCGCTCGGGGCGCGCGGCGTTTTTTCTTCCCGCCGCGCGCTCGGGGCGCGCGGCGGTTTTCTGCCCGCCGTGCGCCCCGAGGCACGCGGCGGTTTTCTGCCCCGTCGATCCGCGCGTCGCCCCCCGTCGCCCGTCGCAGCGCCCCCAGGGACCCGCGCGTCGCCCCCCGTCGCCCGTAGCGGCCCGCGCGACCTGCGTTAGGCCCGCGCGCGACCCGTACGGGCTGCGCCAGGCCCGCGCGCGGCCCGTACAGCCCGCGCGCGGCCCGTACGGGCTGCGCCAGGCCCGCGCGCGGCCCGTACGGGCTGCGCCAGGCCCACGCGCGGCCCAGGCAGCCCGCGCGCGGTTCGTCCCGAGCTTCTGACCGCGCCCCACCCCCGCTGCTGCCCTCGCTCCTGTGTTAGGGTTTGGGGGTGGAGAGTCTGGGGGTGCCGGGTGTGTGAGCCGTCCCCTACTCCTCCTCCTCCTCCGTCTCCCACTGCTGCAGCTGCCGCTGAGGGGGGTGGATGTGTTGGAGCCGTCGGAGTGGTACGAGGGGGGTGGCGTGTGAGCAGTGCTAGAGGTGCAGCAGGGAGTGTGTGAAAAGGGTGTGGGACAGTTGGGGGAGGTTGACAGGAGGTAGCTGTTGTGACGTCAGCAGCGCCAGTAGTCCGGGGGTTGAGTACTCCGGTAGCCCAGCGAGCCTGCTGCTGCCAGTCGCCCGTGGGTCTGTTGCTCCTGCTGCTGCTTAGCGCGGAGCCAGTTACTCCTGTAGTCCGGAGGTTGAGTGCTCCGGTAGCCACCGTGCGCGCCGTTCCTGTTGCCCGTGTGTCTGCGGCTTCACCAGACGCCTCCTATCTCCACTCCTCTCACAGTTCCTCCTCCTCCTCCTCACTTGCCCTCTGTGACTGCCTCTAGCTTTGCTTGAATTTGTGAACCTACTGCTCTGCGTGCTTGCTGTGCTGATTATACCCCACTTTGACTATGGGGGTGTGTCAGAATGTGATGTTTGTCTAGCCTGCAGTGGGGTACTCTATAGCGAGTACAACCCAATTAGGGTTTCCTATATGTATCTCAACTGCTGCTAGTGAAAACCCTCCTTTTCTTGTTTCTGATTCTTGCCTAGACTTTCGACACGTAGATCTCTGCCTCTGCACTGGAAGTAGCCACAGGCGACGACCGTGTAGACCTCCACGACACAGCACCAGCTCCCAGACTGAAGCAGTAACCCTGAGTCGAGCGCTGAGTCTCCACGTCGTCAGCATAGGAAGAGTCGCAGTGACCAGTCAACGCCACTGGCTGAGTCCCTCCAAGCACAAGCCCCATGCCTGATGTAGTCGCCAGGTACTTCGCCACCCTCACAGCAGCTGTCCAGTGGACAGGACGGTGTCTCCCAGTCGCAACAAAGCGAGAAAGGATGCTGAGGGGAAAGGCGAGGTCCGGCCGAGTACAAGTCATCAGGTACATGAGGCAGCCCACCAGCTCTGCGTAGGGACCACTGGACTCAAAGGGCTCGTCCGGAAAGGGACCAGTGAGTCTGTGGTCAACAGCAAGAGGTGTGAGCTGTGTGGTGGAGAATTGGAAGTCGAACCGCCGAAGGACCTGCTGCACCATGTGTGACTGAGTCAGTGTGATGGTGCGAGCGGCTCTGTCCCTGGTGATCTGCAGGCCAAGGTAGCGCTGCAGTTCACCTAGGTCAGTGCATTTGTGTCTCTTCTGCAGTTCGAACTTCACCTGAGCCAGAGCTGCCCTGTCTGCTGTGGCAAAGACCAAGTCGTCGACGTACACTAGTATAAAGAAAGGAGTGGAACCAGTGCGAACAAACAGCGACGGGTCGGCAGAGGAAGGACGGAACCCAAGGTCACGAAGCGTGGAGCGAAGAGTGTCGTGCCACTCACGGGGCGACTGGCGGAGACCGTAGACTGGCCGTCTCAGGCTCCACTGGGTCCCAGGTGGGAAGGTGTCAGTGAAGCCAGGAGGGCGGCGCAGCCAGATCTCCTCGTGTAGTCGGCCCTGGAGAAACGCAGTAGAGAAGTCAAGGGAGTGCAGCTCGTAGTCTCGCTGTGCTGCTACGTGCAGTAACACCCGAAGAGTAGTCATCTTCGGGGTCGGGGCGAAGGTCTGGAAGAAGTAAACTCCCTCCCGCTGACTGAAACCCCTAGCCACGTAGCGCACCTTGAACACAGGCGGTGAACCAGGCGGCCGCTTCACCTTGAAGAGCCACATGCAATCGACTACGTTCGCCCTGGGAGGTGGAACTGCGTCGACGTAGGTGCCTGTGGATCTCCAAGACGCTAACTCTGAGGCCATAGCCGCTTTCCACTGTGAGGCCCACGCCCCTAACACTGCCTCGCGGTAAGTACGAGGAGTCGGTATGTCAAGGGCGTCGGGGTCTCCCTCAGGGGATAGCAGCATGGCACAGACAGGGGGAGAAGCAGCTGCCCTGTACTCCAGCTCAGACTCTCTGTCCTCTAGGACGTCACAGCCAAGGGCAAACTCACCCCCGACGGACAGAGGACGGAAGGGAGGAACTGGCACCACACGGGTGGTGTAGTCAAGGCGACTGGCGGCAGCAAACTCAGCGACAGCGGCAGTGAGAGCCGAGACAGACGATGGAGGGAAACAAGAGTCGGTGACAAGAGTGGCGAGGACACGAGAGACAACAGGACGAACAGCGCGGTAGTAGTCAGTGACAGGAGTATTGGGGAAAGGGAGAGAGGACGGAGGAGGAGACGGGAGAACGGACTCAGGAGGAGGACGACGAAGAGACGAACAAAGGAGGGCAGTGCGGAGGTCGGTAACGGGAGACGAGTGACGAGCACGCGGAGGACAGGGACGGACACGAGAGTGTGGGACACCAGGTGGAGGAGACTGCGGTGGAGGAAAAGACCAGACCGCCAGACTGTCGTCAGGAGGAGGAAACGTGGGACCAAACGCTGGAGGGGACGGAGTGCGAACAGGACGAGAGGAGGGAAGACCAAGGGCCCGAAGGCCACTCACGGGTGGGAACAACTGCCGCTCCAGAGGGAGCTGCGGTGGGCGCGGCTGCGGCGGCGGTGTCTGCTGCTGCGGCGGCTGCTGCTGCTGCTGCTGCTGCTGCTGCTGCTGCTGCTGCTGCTGCTGCTGCTGCTGATCCTGCCGCTGCTGCTCCAGCAGGTCCAACTGCCGCAACTCCTGCCGCTCCCTCTCCAATAGCACCTGCTCCTCACGCTCACGCCGACGGGCCGCCTGGAGACGCGTGTCGTGGCGGTGGGGAGGCGGAGTGGACTCCGCAGAACCAGTGTCTCCAGCTCCAGTCTCCTCAGAACCAGCACCTCCAGTGCCAGCGCCTCCAGCACCAGCACCCCCAGAACCAGCACCTCCAGGACCAGCACCCCCAGAACCAGCACCTCCTGTGCCAGCACCTCCAGCTCTAGCACCCCCAGAACTAGCACCTCCAGTGCCAGGACCTCCAACTCCAGCACCCCCAGAACTAGCACCTCCAGTGCCAGCACCTCCAGCTCCAACACCCCCAGAGCTAGCGCCACCTGCGCCAGCACCTCCAGCTACAGCACCCCTCAAACGAGCACCCCCAGACCGAGTACGGCCAGTGGCTGCACCTCCAGCTCCAACACCAACCGAGTCCACAGTAACCTGTCGCGGAAGTACCGAAGGCTGCTGAGGGGACTGTGAGGAGGACTGCGGGGAGGGAGACACTACCTGACGCGCGACCGAGGGTAGAGGGGTAGCGTGAGACACACCTGACGGGGCAGGACCAGGGGGGGGTGGGGGTACCGGAGGAGCGGGAGCAGGGGGAAGAGAGGGTGTGCGGAAAAGGGGGGGAGGGGGAACCGGGAGACCTCGACAGGGGTACCGGCTGTAGTAGGACACTGACTCGTCGAACCGGACGTCACGGGAGTCTAGGAACTGGTGGAGGGGCGGATGGTAAAAGGACCAGTCGGCCGAGGCTACCGGGAAACCAAGGAAGACACAGGGGACGGCGCGAGCCGAGAGCTTGTCCGCAGAGGTGTCGCGGACAAGCGCAAGGCAGCCCCAGACACAAAAAGCTGACCCAACACCAAGGGACCCGGTCCAAAGACTGGTCGGTGAAGCCTCTGGCCGCGAGACGTGCGGCTGGAGGTTCAGTTGGTGAGCGGCGTAGCGAACTGCGTAGGGACACAGAAAATGGGGCGCACGGGCATGAATCATGGACGTGCGGGCGATGTCCATGACCAAGCCAATGCGGCGCTCAGCAACCCCATTCTGCTGTGGGGACTCCGGCAGCGTCCAGGACTGTACGATGCCCTGCTCGCCGCAGAATCCGGCAAGAATGCCTGAGCGAAACTCACCCCCACGGTCAGAGTGGAGACAGGAGACACGACGGCCACGAGTGCCCTCAGTGGCTAGAAGCCACCAGATCAGCGTAGAAGTCACCTCGGACTTATTCGCGAGAGGAAACACCGTGGTGTACCTGGAGAAGTCGTCGACGACCACAAGAAAGTAGCGCTCCCTCTTAGGTCCCTGCATAGGTGCAGGGCCCCAGACATCCAAGTGGAGTGTCTGGAAGGGAGCAGTGGCCGGACGAAGGGAGGAGGAGTGCGGAGTGGCACGAAGACGGCCGGCGACGCAAGGAGTGCACGGCGGCGCAGGCAAGGGAGGGAGCGATGGGAAGACGCGAGGGAGACCTGAAACAAGACGGTGACTACCCATAGTGCGGAGGCGGGGGATCGACGGGTGGCCAAGACGGTGGTGCCACAAGACGGTCCGGTGGGTGAAAGACCGACACGAGCAAGACGCAGCAACCTGACCGGACACAGCAACCGGTGGGGACGCAGTAACCTGACCGGACTCTGCTACCGGGGGGGAAGAAGCAACCTGACCAGACGCAACTACCTGCGGGGGCGGAGTGTGCAGGACGAAGAGACCTGAGTGGGGCTCTCTGGTGAACGTGGCAAGAACTGCCCCGGTGGAAGAGTCCGTACAGATCGCAGTCCTCCCGTGCGCAGGAAAAGTGACTGTGATCCCCCGGTCCTGAAGGTATCCAACACCCACCAAGTTCCGAGAGAACGAGGGGATGTAGAGACCAGTGAGGAAACCAGAGGGGACAGCTGGGCACGGGAGAGTGGTCGAGCTGCGAGCAACTGCTGGTCCTGAAGTAGGATCAGCCAGGGCAACTGGGACTGGAGCCGAAAGAGGTGTGACAGTGGTGTGGTCGCGGAAGAAGCACTGAGACGCGCCGGAGTCCAGCGTGAAGGAGAGCGACGCAACAGCAGTCGTCACGGCTGGGCTAGTGACTACACAAGCACCTACACTAAAAGCACAAGTACCAACACTAACAGGCAAATGTCCTAAGCTAGGTACACGTAAGCCAAGAGATCCGTACGTGATAGAATAAACAGCATCCATAGACATATCAAACACAGGGTAACCACTACGAAACAGACCGGGCCAGATCGGGGGAGCCGACTCAGGCCCAAAACGCTCACGGTAAAGGTCGTCGAGGCGGCTGTAGCAGCGCTGTGCAGAGTGGTCAGGACGCCAGCAGGTAGTGCCAGCACCAGGGCCGATACTGGCAGGGGCCAACGTCGCGGCCACCGCGACGAGCCCCCCAGCTGGCTGGGCCGCTGCTGCAGCCAACGCTACCTGAACCACTTGGCCCCCACGGCTGCTGAGGGCGCCACAGCTGCTGAGGGCGGAGCTGCTGCTGAGGGCGCCCCTGCTGCTGCGGAAGCCACTGCTGAAACGGCCGCTGCTGCTGTCCCTGCTGCTGGAGAACCCTAGTGGATTCCATGATAGAAGCTAGCGGGGTGCAGGAGCGGCAGGCTAGGAGCGACAGGAGCTAGGGACGGCTGCAGTGAAAAACGAGAACAACTAGGAGCGCCAGGTGAAACTAGGCGAGTAACTGCTGGAGCACGGAGCGAACGAAGCTAGGAGCGCCAGGTGAAACTAGGCGAGGAACGGCCGGAGCACGGAGCAAACTGAGCTAGGAGCGAGGAGCGAGAACGGCTGGAGCGAGAACGGCTGGAGCTAGAACGGCTGGAGCACAACTGGCTGGAGCTAGAAACGGCGAGCTAGGGCTGGCTGAAGGCAGGAACGGCCGGAGCTAGAGACCGTAAGTGCGGCTGTCGGCTGCCGCTAGGGCGCGGGCTGGGGCGACGGGCCAGGGCGCGGGCTGGGGCGACGGGCTAGGGCGCGGGCTGGGGCGACGGGCCAGGGCGCGGGCTGGGGCGACGGGCTAGGGCGCGGGCTGGGGCGACGGGCTAGGGCGCGGGCCTGGGCGACGGGCTAGGGCGCGGGCCTGGGCGACGGGCTAGGGCGCGGGCCTGGGCGACGGGCTAGGGCGCGGGCCTGGGCGACGGGCTAGGGGCGCGGAGGGCGCTAGGTGCGGAGGTCCGCGACGGCGCGGGCTAGGGGCACAGAGGGCGCTAAGGCGCGCGGGCCGAAAACATGGGCTAGGGGCGCGGAGGGCGCTGAGGCGCGGAGGAGGAGGGCGCTAGGGCGCGGAGAGGGCGCGGAGGGCACGGAGGCTAAGGCGCGGAGGGTGCGGAGGGCGCGGAGGCTAAGGCGCGGAGGGCGCGGAGGGCGCGGAGGTGCGCTAGAGAGGGCGCGGGCTAGGAAGTAACGAGGAGCTAACCTTCCTCTGATACCATCTCAAAGTTAGAATGCAACGGAATGCTTGACTAGAAAGGAGTTGGGGTACAAATAGGAAACCGTAATATGTCTGTACTCACTAAGGAGCACCTCACTACAGCCTATCACAAATATCAACATTTGACATGCTGGTTGTGTTGGTGGAAGAGCACATGTGGCTTAACCAAGGTAATGGGCAGCTCACACTCATCAGCAAGGCTCACCCTCCTGCGGCCTTGTCGAGGCCAACTACACGATGCAAGCCCCACCCTGTGGCTACTTCAGTCAGTGCAAGGCAGGGCGTGCAAGGACGACGCAGGGAGGCTCACCTGCCAGCGGTGCAGACAGTGAGGGCGAGGAGGTCCTCCAGTGACGACTGCAGCACGTCCGTGAGCACTGATGCCGACACCCCTGCCACGCCTAGCCCTGTGACCGTGCTCACCACCTGTGCCATGCCATGGCCGGTGTTGTGGTCGTGCGGCACGCAGGAGGTGAAGGAAAGGATAGTGATGGGGACGTGGAAATGGGGTAACAGGGAAGGGGAGAGAATGGGGAGGCACGGCAGAAAAAGGTAAAGAAATGAAACGAATAATATTTGGGAAAAAGAGGGGTAAGAGAGAGGAGGTGGAGCGTCAAGGGGTCGAAAGTGGAGAGTGAAAGAGGGGGTGCGAGCATGGCTGAGAGGGATTGGTGGTGGAAGCGGGCAAAGAAAGAATGCGGGACTAGCGGAAAAGGGATGGATGCGAGGACGAGCTGGGTCATGTGGGATCACGACCGGGCCACCATTCTTCAGTTGTTTCACCCAACATTCATCAATTCCCCCACCTCACTTCCATTTCTCTCCTCGCTCATTCCCTCCTTCCACACACTCCCGCATCTCACCGCCTCCCTAATTTCTTCCTCCAGCAGCAGAGCAGCAGCGCGCGGGCTGAACCCCTCCAGAATGCCAACCGTCTCGGGAAATCTCCCCTCCTCGCCCTCGCTCTCGCCAGCCTCGTCGCTGCCCGGCGGCAGGGAGGCGGGTGGCACGGAGGGCCAGCGGGTGCGGGCGAAGTCGCGGTAGCTGGCGAGCTGGCGGGCGTTGTTGGAGCGCAGCCACACGTGATGCTCCACCAGCGCTCGCTGCGCCACGTGTGGGAAGGGGTGCGTGTGGCGTGGACGGACAGGTGCGGCACGGCATTCCATGGGTGGATGGGAGGTTGCGATCATGAGGTTTTTGGATGGGGTGAGGGTAGGGGAGGAAACGAGGTGGTGTAGATGAGTAAGGCATGTCAAACATGGGAGTGAAGCGCATTGGACAAGCAGGTGACCTGGAGGACCTGGTTCTGCTGCTGTCAATACACACACAGCTTACCGGGGTACCATGCATGCCAGAGATGTCATGCACGTCAGGCATGGCACGCATGACAGCAGGGCAGTGAGCGTGTGTGGCAGCACTCACCCGCACGTCAGCCACCACGGTGCCCACGATCTGTGTCTGAAAGCTCTTGCTCACAGGCAGCATGCCGCCGCTGCCACTCGCCCCATCCCCACCGCCCCCGCCACCCCCACCGGGCGGCGAGAACAGGTACTGCAGCATGACGTCAGCGTTGCCCAGCCGCAGCGTGGCCTCCACAAACTCCTCTGCCCTTCCAGCCGCCTCCCTCAAGAGTGCGGCGACGCGGGAGCGCTGCAGCAGGGAGTCGGTGCGCATGGCGGCGCCGTACCCCTCCATCTGCGCCTCCACTACTGCCAGCGCCGAGTCATCCCGCGCCGCCGCCTCTGCCTGCGCCGTCATCTGCCCCTTCGCGCCCGCCAGCAGCGCCGACGCCACTCCCAGGGGCGTGTCCAGCTTCAGCCGCAGCCGCTCTGCGCCTGTGTCGGAGGAACCTTCCAGGAACTGCTGGATGAAGATCTCGAGGTCGGCAAAGCCCGAGGCCTGGTAGGACGGGTCGTTGCGCAGGCGGACGGCAGGGTCGGGCGGCGGGAGGGTGGCGGCGGCGGAGGAGGAGAGGGCGGGCGAGGGCGCGGGGGTGGAAGGGGTAGGGCGCGTTGTGGAGGAGTTTTGCGGCGAGGGCGGGGCGGGAGGCGAGGGGGAAGTAGAGCACGGTGTCGACGGCGAGCAGGCGCTTGACGTTGGCTGTGACGAACTCCTGCACCTCCCTCACGTCTGCTGGTGAGGAGAGCGAGTCCACCTTGTTGAGCGCGAACACCACCTTCTTGCCCCACTGCCGGATGTAGCGTAGGAATGATACCTGCGGGAGGTGTGCAGCAGATGAGCAGAGCGACAGAGATGTGGATGGAAGGTGTGGAGAGTGGAGTGTGAAAGAAGGGCTGCAGGGTTGCATGGTTGGTGGGATGAGGGGAGCAACGTGGAAGTAGTTGAAGTGACGATGTGACACTCGATGGGTGTGCACATGGCATGCACATGGCGTGCACATGGCGTGCACATGGCATGCACATGGCGTGCACATGGCGTGCACATGGCGTGCACATGGCGTGCACATGGCGTGCACATGGCGTGCACATGGCATGCACATGGCATGCTAATGGTGTGCATGTGGAGTGCATATGAAGCGCTCATAGAAGGGAAGCGGTGAAGGAATGGAGGAACGTGCACTTTATTTGAGGGGGTGGAGATGGAGTGGGCAAGGGCAAGAGAGGAAGGGGGCAGGAGGGCAAGAGAGCAGGGGAGCAGGAGGGCAGGAGGGCAGGAGGGCAGGAGGGCAGGAGGGCAGGAGGGCAGGAGGGCAGGAGGGCAGGAGGGCAGGAGGGCATGAGGGCAGGAGGGCAGGTGGGCAGGAGGGCAGGAGGGCAGGTGGGCAGGGTGGTGGGAGGGCAGAGGGCAACATGGCAGGAGGGCAAGAAAGGAAGAGAGTGAGAGTGCACGATACGCACCTCAGACTTGGTGAGGGGGCGGTCAGCGGAGAGCACGAAGAGCACGAGGTCCGCCTGCGGCACGAACTCCTCGGTGAGGCGCTGCTGGCGCTCCAATATCACGTTCGTGCCCGGCGTGTCCACCACGTTCATCTGCTCCCATGCCACCGCCGGGGCAAGGGAGATGGACGGACGGGAGAGGGGCAAGGAGCAGCGACGTGAGAGTTTATAATGAGCAACAAGACCGGATGTTTGAGATTTAGCGGGGCAGCCGTGAATGGCAGCAGCTAGTAGCAAGGGGCTGAGCGCGGACCTGTTTGAGGCGGGCAGGAAGCGAATCATGTGCCCATCGGGGTGCCGCTGCTCCTCCACCGCCATGCGCCCCGCCACCGCTCGCGCTGCCGCCCGCCCCGCCACCGCACCCCTCTGCGACCCCGCTGCTGCCGCCGACAGCGCTGCACTGGACGTGGCCTGAGCGGCACGCGCGCGCAGCTGGGAGGAGGGCGAGGTGTCGAGGTGGCGCAGCAGCGTGATCTCGTTGGTTTTGGGCACCACGCCCACGTTGAGGAACGCGTCCCCCAGCAGCGCGTTCACCAGCGACGACTTGCCCAAGTTGAACTCGCCCTGACCTCATGCACGTGGTCCGTGTGTGGTGTGGGAGAGAGAGGGGAAGGGGTGGGAGCTGATGGATTGTGAGCGGCGAGTCTTTGTGAGTGAAGCGAGAGGACGGGTTGGGTGAGTGGCAGACATGTGCTGAGGAAGTAGATTTGCATGCAATGGCTGTAGAGGTACAGCATGGCCTGCCATGGCGAGAGAACGCGTGTGATGATGAAGGGGAAGTGAATGGAGTATGATCTCATGGATGACCACACGAATGCATGGCGGTACAGAGGGGCACTGACCACAACGACGACGAGGAAGGGTTCCCCCAGGCGGGCGAGGGAGTCCTCCAACAGCTGTATCTCCGCCATCTGTGGCCATGCCATGCCATGCCATGCACACACAGGGGCAAGCATGAAGTCATTGCAGTCACGGAGTCATGTATGCATGGAGACACAGGGGCATGCAGGCATGGTGGGAAGCCAAAAGGGCCAAGAAATAAAGAGCATGGGATGGGAGGATGACACATGTGCCATGGTGCTCACATCGGGGCAGGCAGCACGGAGCAGCGCGAGCAGCGAGGAGAGCAGCTTCCTCTCCGCCTTCATGATTCGCCGCCCCTCCACGTCCAGCAACCCCCGCCCCTCCCTGCCCTCCCCTTCCTCCTCCTCCTCCTCCTCCTCCTCCTCCTCCTCCTCCTCCTCCTCCTCCTCCTCCTCCTCCTCCTCCTCCTTCTCCCCCTTCTCCCCCTCCCCCGCCCCTGCCCCCTGTACACGCACATCCTCCCCCGTCACAGCACTCGCAGCAGCGGGCCCCGGAGGCCCCCCCACGCCAGATAGCACCTGCTCCACCTCCTCCCTCACCTCTTCCCTCCCCTCCTCCACGTCCCCTCGCCCGCTGCCCTCCTCCCCTGCTGTACCTCTCACTCCCATGCCCACTTCCCCCCCCTCCTCCTCACTCTCCCCCTCACTCTCCGTCTCATTCTCCTCCCCCGCGCCCTCCCCCATGCCCTTGGTGACCCACCGAGCATCAGCCATGGCACCCACCACGCGCCCCACCGCTGCCCGCATCGCCCGGCTCTCCCCGCCACCTCCCACACCCGCTGCTTCACCTGCTTCTGCTCCTTCCGCTCCTTCTGCTGCTTTGGCTGGTTCTGTTGCTGCCGCCTGCAGCAGCGTTGAGAGAGTAACGGCCACGCCAGCAGCGCCGCTGCCCATGACGCCGCGCACCCACTGCACGCCCTCCCCCCCTGCCCACGCGGCCCCCTCGCCCCGCTGCACCAGCACAGGGATGCTCACCTGCCGCGCCCTCACCTGCGCCACTGCTGCCGCATCAGCAGTGCGGCCCGCACTGCTAGCAGTGACAGCAGCAGCCCCTGGGGCGGCAGTGGAGGGCGCGAGCAGAATGAGGTCGGCACCGTCAGCGGTGGTGGTGGTGACTGCGGCGGCCACGCCACTCTGCGCGCCACGAGTGGCAGCAGCGGGCCCGACGCCGCACTCTCCATCATGCGCCGCGCCGCCACTGCTGGTAGGCCTGCGGGTGGGCGCAGGCACGGGGGGAGGAGAGGCGTAGAGAGGGCGCGGGGCGCGACCACAGAGAGAAGGGCCAAAGCAGAGGGGAGAGGAGAGGAGTGGCAGAGATAGGCGTGAGAGGGACGGAGGGTGAAGGGGAGAAGGGAGGTGTGGCCGGGATGCCACAAAGACGGCGGGTTCGGAAGCAGGGAGAGCGATGGGGGGGGGGGGGGGAGGACGGTGGCCGTGAGAGGCTAGTGCTGTGATAGAGCATGGGTGCGGCATGTGAGCATGGGTGCGGCATGTGAGCATGGGTGCGACATGTGAGCATGGGTGCGGCATGTGAGCATGGGTGCGGCATGTGAGCATGGGTGCGGCATGTGAGCATGGGTGCGGCATGTGAGCATGGGTGCGGCATGTGAGCATGGGTGCGGCATGTGAGCATGGGTGCGGCATGTGAGCATGGGCGCGGCATGTGAGCATGGGCGCGGCATGTGAGCATGGGCGCGGCATGTGAGCATGGGCGCGGCATGTGAGCATGGGCGCGGCATGTGAGCATGGGCGCGGCATGTGAGCATGGGCGCGGCATGTGAGCATGGGCGCGGCATGTGAGCATGGGCGCGGCATGTGAGCATGGGCGCGGCATGTGAGCATGGGCGCGGCATGTGAGCATGGGCGATGTGAGGATGGGCGCGGCATGTGAGCATGGGCGCGGCATGTGAGCATGGGCGCGGCATGTGAGGATGGGCGCGGCATGTGAGCATGGGCGCGGCATGTGAGCATGGGCGCGGCATTTCAGCATGGGCGCGGCATGTGAGCATGGGCGCGGCATGTGAGCATGGGTGCGGCATGTGAGCATGGGTGCGGCATGTGAGCATGGGCGCGGCATGTGAGCATGGGCGCGGCATGTGAGCATGGGCGCGGCATGTGAGCATGGGCGCGGTATGTGAGCATGGGCGCGGCATGTGAGCATGGGCGCGGCATGTGAGCATGGGCGCGGCATGTGAGCATGGGCGCGGCATGTGAGCATGGGCGCGGCATGTGAGCATGGGCGCGGCATGTGAGCATGGGCGCGGCATGTGAGCATGGGCGCGGCATGTGAGCATGGGCACGGCATGTGAGCATGGGCGCGGCATGTGAGCATGGGCGCGGCCTGTGAGCATGGGCGCGGCGTGTGAGCATGGGTGCGGCATGCGAGCATGGGTGCGGCATGTGAGCATGGGTGCGGCATGTGAGCATGGGTGTGGCATGTGAGCATGGGTGCGGCATGTGAGCATGGGTGTGGCATGTGAGCATGGGTGCGGCATGTGAGCATGGGTGCGGCATGTGAGCATGGGTGCGGCATGTGAGCATGGGTGCGGCATGTCAGCATGGGTGCGGCATGTCAGCATGGGTGCGGCATGTCAGCATGGGTGTGGCTTGGGAGCATGGGTGCGGCATGTGAGGATGGGTGTGGCATGTGAGCATGGGTGTGGCATGTGTGCATGGGCGTGGCATGTGAGGCATGTGCCATGTGGTGTGTGTGTTGACCTTCCCAACTTCCTACAATCACACTCCATGTATCATGCCACATGAAAGAAGCCATTAAAATTTGCTTGCTACTGGGACGGCGCCATGTGCCATGCCACCATGCGACCTTGTCATGCCACCATGCAACCATGTCATGCCACCATGCGACCATGCCATGCCACCATGCGACCATGTCATGCCACCATGCGACCATGCCATGCCACCATGCGACCATGATTCTCGACGTCACGCGCTTCGTTTCGGACAACCATAGAGGAATTCGAGTTTCTATTTAAAACCCGCAGCCTGAATTACAAAAAGTGTTTTGAGGTGTTAAAGCCCGCGTGTCAGATTTCCTAGCGTTAAACACTTTGTTGGGTTTGCCCTACCGTGATTGGGTAACGACTGACGAAATTTGTGACGAGCTGGTGAAAAAAACACAGCGAACTCCGTTGTGTTCGAGGCCAAACCAAACCAGGGTGGGCAGGGTTGGGTGGAAGTTTAAACCTTGGGGGACAGGTTTGGCCCTGAATGGGAACTGAACGACCCCCCGACGACGACAGCACGTCGCACGTAAACATAACTGAAGTGCCACAAAATGAGTGCTAACTCAATCGTTTTCACACTCCCGTCACCGAGCAGTAGGACCGCCGGAACAGAAACAAGGTAAGCATTCATACCCCGATAATTAGGGACGGGCTGAATTAGATTAGGGATAGTCGAGGTAAGCGTAATGATGGGCGGAATGAGGTTAGAAAGAGCGGAATGCGATAAGGAATGGCGAAATGAGTGCGTGAAGTGAGGAACGAAAATAAGAATGGCGGAATGAGAGGACGAAGGGTTTAGCGATAGGAAGAGAGGTGGATGGAAGGAAGAAGGGCGGATCGAGCGGAAGAAGGGCGGAATTTTGTGAAGTAGGGCGGAATGGGAGGAAGAAGGGAGGAATTGGAGGAAGTAGGGAGGAATGGGAGTACGGAACAAGAGTACACACGGAATGAAAGTAGGAACCGCGGAATGAGAGTTACACACGGAATGAAAGTAGGAACCGCGGAATGAGAGTAGGAACGGCGGAATGAAAGTAGGAACCGCGGAATGAGAGTAGGAACGGAGGAATGAGAGTGGGAACGGCGGATTGAGATTAGGAACGGCCGAATGAGAGTAGGAACGGCGGAAACAGATCAGGATCGGCGGAATGGTAGTAGGAACGGCGGAAACAGAGTAGGATCGGCGGAATGGTAGTAGGAACGGCGGAATGAGTGGGTGCACGGCGGAATGAGAGTATGAATGGCGGAATAAGAGTAGGGATGTGCGGAATTAGATTATGAATGGCAGAATGAGAGCAGGTATGTGCAGATATTAGATTATGAATGGCGGAATGAGATTAGGCGGGGCGGCATGCGAGTAGTTAGCATGGAAGAACATTAAATTGGGCTGACCCTAAGTAGGGATGGGCAGAATAATGTTAGGGATGGGCGGAATAATGCGAGAGTTGGGCGGAATAATGTTGGGGATGTGCTGTTGAATGATAAAGATGGGCGGAATGATGTCAGGGATGGGCGGAATAATGTTAGAGATGAGCGGAATGGGAGTAGTAAGGGCACAAGGAGAGGAAGAAGGGCACGAAGAGGGAGGCGCAAGGGGGGAGAGGGAGGTGAGTGCATATTGGAGGGGAATAGGGAGCCAGGGGGGAAGGGGAGTGATGGGGAGGGGGAAAGGGGGTGCAGTCCGAGGGGGAAGGGACATGTCGTCCCTCACGAAAGGGAGGTGAGTGCATCGGGGAGGGGAAGAGGCGGCCAGAGGTGAAAGGGGTGTGATGGGAGGGGGAAAGGAGGTGCTGTCCGAGGGGGAAGGGAGATGGGGTCCCTCACGAAAGGGAGGTGAGTGCATGGGGGAGGGGAAGAGGCGTCCAGGGGGGAAGGGGTGTGATGGAAGGGGGAAAGGAGGTGCTGTCCGAGGGGGAAGGGAGATGGGGTCCCTCACGAAAGGGAGGTGAGTGCATGGGGGAGGGGAAGAGGCGGCCAGAGGGGAAGGGGTGTGATGGAAGGGGGAAAGGAGGTGCTGTCCGAGGGGGAAGGGAGATGGGGTCCCTCACGAAAGGGAGGTGAGTGCATGGGGGAGGGGAAGAGGCGGCCAGAGGGGAAGGGGTGTGATGGAAGGGGGAAAGGAGGTGCTGTCCGAGGGGGAAGGGAGATGGGGTCCCTCACGAAAGGGAGGTGAGTGCATGGGGGAGGGGAAGAGGCGGCCAGGGGGGAAGGGGTGTGATGGAAGGGGGAAAGGAGGTGCTGTCCGAGGTGGAAGGGAGATGGGGTCCCTCACGAAAGGGAGGTGAGTGCATGGGGGAGGGGAAGAGGCGGCCAGAGGGGAAGGGGTGTGATGGAAGGGGGAAAGGAGGTGCTGTCCGAGGGGGAAGAGAGATGGGGTCCCTCACGAAAGGGAGGTGAGTGCATGGGGGAGGGGAAGAGGCGGCCAGGGGGGAAGGGGTGTGATGGAAGGGGGAAAGGAGGTGCTGTCCGAGGGGGAAGGGAGATGGGGTCCCTCACGAAAGGGAGGTGAGTGCATGGGGGAGGGGAAGAGGCGGCCAGAGGGGAAAGGGGTGTGATGGAAGGGGGAAAGGAGGTGCTGTCCGAGAGGGAAGGGAGATGGGGTCCCTCACGAAAGGGAGGTGAGTGCATGGGGGAGGGGAAGAGGCGGCCAGGGGGGAAGGGGTGTGATGGAAGGGGGAAAGGAGGTGCTGTCCGAGGGGGAAGGGAGATGGGGTCCCTCACGAAAGGGAGGTGAGTGCATGGGGGAGGGGAAGAGGCGGCCAGAGGGGAAGGGGTGTGATGGAAGGGGGAAAGGAGGTGCTGTCCGAGGGGGAAGGGAGATGGGGTCCCTCACGAAAGGGAGGTGAGTGCATGGGGGAGGGGAAGAGGCGGCCAGGGGGGAAGGGGTGTGATGGAAGGGGGAAAGGAGGTGCTGTCCGAGGGGGAAGGGAGATGGGGTCCCTCACGAAAGGGAGGTGAGTGCATGGGGAAGGGGAAGAGGCGGCCAGGGGGGAAGGGGCGTGATGGAAGGGGGAAAGGAGGTGCTGTCCGAGGGGGAAGGGAGATGGGGTCCCTCACGAAAGGGAGGTGAGTGCATGGGGGAGGGGAAGAGGCGGCCAGAGGGGAAGGGGTGTGATGGAAGGGGGAAAGGAGGTGCTGTCCGAGGGGGAAGGGAGATGGGGTCCCTCACGAAAGGGAGGTGAGTGCAAGGGGTAGGGGAAGAGGCGGCCAGGGGGGAAGGTGTGTGATGGGGTGATGGAAGGGGGAAAGGAGGTGCTGTCCGAGGGGGAAGGGAGATGGGGCCCCTCACGAAAGGGAGGTGAGTGCATGGGGAGGGGAAGAGGTGATGTCACATCCCTGAAGATTAACGATCCATTGATGACTGCCCCGGAGTTCATTTCTTGAAACAATCACGTTGCAACGACTCCAAATGGGTTGGTCAGAGTTGGTGGACTAGGGTCCAGGGTCGAATGGTGTTTAGGGTTTAGGATTTACCGACAATCTTACATAAGATAATATGGAGAGGGTGCATGCATGGCTCAACATGTGTTGCGTGATCTGAGAGTGCGCAGCCTTGACACTTTGACGTTGTTCTGTCTTTAGTTGTTTGACCTCATTTCCTGTCTTGGTGTGGTTCTGGATTTTTTTAATCGAAATTGATTCTTACAAATTTTGACTTCCCATTATCGCCTCATCATCCAAAAATCTTCTCCGAGCTCAGTGTTGCCGAGTCATCCAAAGCGATTTCACTTTCCACGCGTGCTGACCCAGCGCCCGTGAAATTAGGAGCAATTGTTTTGTTCTTATATTTTCATACCCCCCCGAAAAGACGAGGCTTCGTGCGCGATTTTCCGGTGTGAAATCGTCGTAGAACAGGTGTAGCGATTTTGTCAAGAATGTTAATAACGATTGTGTCAGGCGTGCAAGTGGAAACTTCATCTGAAAAAGGTACAGATTAATCATGTGATAATCTGTTCCAAGGTCAACTTTCGCTTGTTCCAGGCCCACGTGGCCCTGTGTGCGCTTATTTGAATGTTTATAATCGGCAGCCGGCTATAAGCACATTCGTCTGCGTCTAAGCCCATGTGTCAGATATGTGCAAGAACAACGCGTGACGCATACGAAGGAACTATTAAAATGACAGCAACTGAAATTTATATTGCGTTCAACCTAAACATAATGTTGCGTCTGACGGACTCTGCAGTGGAATCCTTTGGCATCAGACCTTATGTGAGATTGGCAATCTCTAAGAACCATAAGGCAAGAAAACAATTTTTGGGCTATACAGACATGGAGGAATAACCGTGACGATGGGACCATGTGAGGAGGAGGAGGGGGAGGGGGAGGAGGAGGAGGAGGAGGAGGAGGAGGAGGAGGAGGAGGATGAGGAGGAGGAGGAGGAGGAGAAGGAGGAGGAGCAGGAGGAGGAGGAGGAGGTTGAGGAGGAAGAGGAGGAGGAGGAGGAGGAGGAGCACCCGGATTCTCATGATTTCAGAGGTTGCGTGCCCGCTGAAAGGTGACTAGTTTGATGCATGCAAGGGTGTTTCTTTGAGTTCGCCGCCTCTACGTACAGTGTGAGATTTTTTTTCAACACACTATTGTCTTGTGATGTACTTACCATAGAGATGCTGATTGAATGCCACATGGGGTTCGCGCGTTGATTGACAACCTCGCGTGTTCGAACGGTGCTTCTATCGCGTTTCTTTGTTGGAACGTCTAGTTCCACATCATCTTGTTTTTTGTTTTGTTTTGTTTTTTTTTTCAATAAACTGTCCGCATACCAGGAAGGCAGTGCTTGAACCTTAAAAAAAACGAAACTGTTTGGAAATGCAGAGCGGATGTGGGCCCGGAGAAAGCACAAGCGGTGCTGGGAAGACCGGAACTGGAGGCTTGGTCGGTCGATTCAGAACCGATAACTTGATATGTCACTATATACAAACCTCGGCAAACATGCACGAGGGCAACATTCAAAAGGCGTTTATGTATTGCAACCATAGTAGTGTCTGGAGTAATAGAAGTGACACATGTGAATAATTGCTACGAGTGGAATTGATATAGCGAGCAAGGATTGGACTAATGGGGCAAAGGAAGAATACAATGTGAGCGAAGGCATGAGCAAACATTTGTAGCGAAACATACAAACGGTGATGCGGGCTTGCGAGATAACTAGTGCAGTGCTGGCAGCTAGGTTCGGGCTAGTCCCGAAGCGTAGGACGACTCGGCCAAGTACAGTAGTGTATAGTCTGGCAAAAGTGACGCGTGGAGTGGCGAACACCGTTATTATGTAATAGGTGAAGAACAGTCGAGTGTTGTACGCGTTATGCAGGTGCACGGTAAGGAATCCGGAAAAATCAGTACACTTCCCCTTCCTCAAGAAGCCCTCTGCTTAGTATGAAAGTCGCGGAATCTCTGGCTTTTGAAGTACTCCTCGACAAGAGGTTGTTTCTCGGGGTTGGCCAGGGGCACCCATCTTCAGTTTGCGTGCGATCCTCTGCGGACGAGGAATTCAATCCTCCGAGATCCCTGGGGGCGTCGGATCCGATGGCTGAAAGTTTTCTCGGCTTCAATGCGGGGTGCGTCATTGATGGTGGTTGATGACGTGACAGTTCACTGGTGGTTGGGATGCATGATTGAAGGAGGCTGAGTGGAACGAAGGGCTGATGTACCAGTCGGTGGGTAACAGTAGATGAGCGGCGGCAGGCGCAATCATGTGGGTAATCTAGAAAGGACCACAGTATCAGGGTCGGAGTTTTGGTACGACGGGCAGGCGAAGGTTCTGAGTGTCGAGCAGCATAAAGTCTCCTGACTGGTATGTGATGGGGCTGTGATGGCGATCGGCATTCCATTTTATTGCCTCTGCAGTACGGGAGGTGTCGGATTGTCGGGTTTCAGCGAACTTTTGAGCGAGAGGTGCCTTATTGTTCGGGTTCGGCGTCATGGGCACTATTGGATTCCGTCTGTATTTCAAGTATAATGGCGACTGTTTGGTCATGACTGAGAGGTTTCCTATATATGCTGGTTTGTTCATTTTCCTAAGTCATTGATTCTATAGTTCATATCTTAACAGACTTGAGGTTCCAATGAGTGCCGGCCCCAGCAGCGGCTCAGCCAGCAGTGGGCGCGACGTCGATCCCTGCGAGTACCAGATCCTGACTGGGGGTGTTCCTACAGGAGGTACTGGAGGAGCTGGGGGTGTTGCTGTTGGTGGTCCTGACACTCGAGGCACTGGTTCTGGGGGTGCTGGGGCTGGAGCCGCTGCCTCTGGAGCGCCGGCTCAGCCTGCCGTACGTTATCTGCCGTGAGCAGATTTATCTACAGTTGGAGAGGGAGCAGGGGCTGTAGCGGGAGCAGTTGCCGCGGCGGCAGGAAGAGCTGGAGCAGCAGGAGCAGCAGCAGGAGCAGGTGCAGCCGCAGCAGACGCTAGAGGAGGCAGAGCAGCAGCGGCAGCAAGAGCTTCCTGACCCCGCACCTGCGCATTTCATCCATGGTCCCCTGCCGTCTCCTCCCGTGCCTCCTGACAAGTCCCCTTTCCGGTCCCCGTGGTTTCGTCGTGCTCCTCTCAGTCATGATGTGTCCCCAGAGTCTCTTCCGTCTCGTTACTGTGCCGGCGGTCCGTTTCACCTTGTTCTCCTCTCTAGTGTTCCACCTCCTCCAGTCCTCCCGTCACCTCCCGTATCGTCCCTTCCTGTACCTCCTGCCCCGGTTTCTGCACGAGCCCCATGCCTGATGTACTGCACAAGTAGCGTAGTACCCTCTTAGCAGCATCCATGTGCACCTTTCGGTGCCGACCAGGAGCCATGTAGCGAACCAGAAGGCCAAGAGGGTACGCGAGGTCAGGACGAGTGCAAGTCATCAGGTACATGAGGCAGCCAACTAGCTTTGGGTAAGGACCACTCGGCTCTACGGACTCGTCCAAAGGCGGAGCTGAGAGCGAGTGACCTGTAGCCAGAGGAGTCGACTGTGCCGAGGACCAGGTGAAGCCGAAGTGCTGAAGGACCTGCTGCACCTTGTGTGACTGAGTCAGTGTGATGGTGCGGCGTGCTCTGTCCCGGGTGATCTGCAAGCCAAGGTAGTTGCGCATCTCACCCAGGTCTGTGCACGTGTGTCTCTTCTGCAGCTCCGACTTCACCAGGGCGAGAGCCTCAGTGTCAGCGCGCCTTGCCGCTCGTCCTGTCGTCTCCCGTGTTCTCTCTTCATTGGTCACTCTTCCGACTGCTCCTCCGTCGTCTGTCTCGGCTCTTGTTTCTGCTGTCGGTGACCTTGCCTCTTCCCACCGTCTTGACTATGCTGTCCAGTTGGTGAGCAGTCCTGCCCGTTCTCCGTCCTTCGAGGGTGCTCCTGTTTTTGCCTTGGACGTCCTGGAGGACAGTCAGTTCCTTGCCTTCGCTGTTCCTCATCTCTGCGCCATGCTGCTTGCCCTTGAGGGGGATCCATACACTTTTGACAAACCCAATCCCTCGCACTCACGCAGAGGCGGTCTCGGGACCTTGGGCCTCGTATTGGATAGCAGCTGAAGAGGCAGGCATCTTGTAGGTCCACTGGCACCTACGTCGACGCAGTCCCACCGCCTGGGACAAACGTAGTCAGTGTCATGTTGATCCACAAGGTGAAGCGGCCGCTTGGAGCACCACCGGTCATCAAGGCGTGTTACGTGGCGAAAGGCTTCAGTCAGCACGAGGGAGTAGACTTCTTTCTGACTTTCTCCCCCACCCTAAAGATGACCACTCTTCGGGTATTACAGCACTTCGCAGCACAGCACGACTACGAGCTGCACTCACTCGACCTCTCCACTGCATTTCTTCAGGAGACCCTACACGAGCAGATCTGGCTGCGTCGTCCGCCTAGCTTCACTGGCTTTTTCCCTCGTGGGACCCATCACTCTTCGTCCGCGGCTCTTCAACCCCGTTCTTTATCCGCCGTTCTTCAACAACTTGGTTTTCGCCACTCCTGACAGAAGCGTACTGGCCTCGGTGAAGGCCGAACTGCAGCAGAGGCACACTTGAACTGACCTTGGTGAGCCGCAGCACTACCTTGGCCTGCTGATCACGAGGGACAGAGCTGCTCGCACCAATAGGCTAACTCAGTCGCATGTGTTGCAGCAAGTCCTCGAGCGGTTCGGCCTTCAGTTCACCTCGACACAGCCCATCCCTCTTGCTGTGGACCACAAGCTCACGGCTCCACATTCGGACGAGTCAGTTGAGTCTAGAAGTCCGTATGCAGAGTTGGTGGGTTTTCTCATGTGCCTGATGACTGGCACTCGCCCAGACGTCGCTTTCACTCTCAGCATCCTGGCTCGCTTTGCTATGCCTGGGAGACACCGACCTGCTCACTGGTTGGCTGCTAAGACGGTAGCGAAGTACCTGGGGAGTACGTCAGGCATGAGAATTGTGCTTGGAGGACGCCAGCTAGTTACACTTACCAGACAGTCGGACTCGTCGTACGCTGACGACGCTCAGACGCAGCGGTCTACACAGGGTTAATTATTTAGCCTTGGGACAGGTGGTTTTTCGTGGAGGTCGACTCGGGCGTTGTCCGTCTCTAGTTCCAGCTGTGAGGCAGAGGTTTACGCTGCGGCCATGGCCGCCCAGAAGCTGCGCTGGTCGTCTTTCCTTCTCACCGACCTTGGTGAGTGGCCTCGCTCTCCCCAGTTCGCAGACAACATGTGTGCCATCCTGATCGCGAGGAGCCTCGACTGGTGTGGAAGGTGAAGCACATCCAGCTTCGTTACTTCCTTCTGCGCGAGTTGCAGCAGCGTGGCCAGGCCCGCGTGGTTCGAGTGGCCTCGGAGGCCAACACTGCGGATATCTTCACAAAGGCGCTGCCGCCTTGTGAACATCACTGCTTCTGACGTGCAGGTTGGCCTTGTGTGTGCACGTTCTCACTTGCTTTCGTAGAGATGCTTTGTTCTGTACTCTTGCATCTCTTTACATATATATATATATACCTGCATGTGGACTGGCCTTGTGGCCCTTTTTTGCTCTCTGACTGTGTCATGTCTTTGTGATCCACCCTGAGCTGCTTCTCTTGCTTTGTTTCTTGTTCTTGCTGACTGGTCTGGTGACCGTTGCTTGTTCTCGCTGACTGGTCCTATAACCCTTGCTCTCAGACTGTGTGGTGACTTCGTGATCCACCCTGAGATGTGTGTTGCTTTCCACAGGACTACCATCACCTAGACTATGGGGGTGTGTCATATTCGTTATAGCTTGTATTATTTTAATCTAGGTGGTGTACATTTCTGTTAGTCCTAGGGTTAGGTTTTTTATATTGCTGTTTGCTCATTCTTTAGTCATTCATTACATTTTCATATTCTAACACCCACCAGACCCGACTGCTCCTAGCCGCTCCCCTCTGCACCCGACTGCTCCTATCCGCTCCCCACCACGCCTGGCCATTTCTAGCTCCTTCCGCTCCTACGCCCAACTGGCTTGTGCCATGGCGTCCGCTAGAGTTCTGCAGCAGCAGAGCCAGCCGCAGCGGCTGCAGCAGCAGCACTCCCGGCTGTGGGGACCTGATGGTCCGA